CATTTTCTCTGGATTTCTACAGTAAAAGTGAATGATATTTTACACAGTGGTAGAGGGCATCCCAGTGAACAAGTTTGCAGTGAAATCAGTCAGGGAACTTTTTTAGATTTTTTTAAAATGATTTTTAAAAAGTGCTTTTGGGACCAAAATGGCACACTTTGACCCCCATTTTCTCTGGATTTCTACAGTAAAAGTGAATGATATTTTACACAGTGGTAGAGGGCATCCCAGTGAACAAATGTGCAGTGAAAGTAGTCAGGGAACTTTTTTAGTTTTTTTTAAAATTAATTTTAAAAAGTGCTTTTGGGACCAAAATGGCACACTTTGACCCCCATTTTCTCTGGATTTCTACAGTAAAAGTGAATGATATTTTACACAGTGGTAGAGGGCATCCTGGTGAACAAGTGTGCAGTGAAAGTAGTGAGGGAACTTTTTTAGTTTTTTTTAAAATGAATTTTAAAAAGTGCTTTTGGGACCAAAATGGCACACTTTGACACCCATTTTCTCTGGATTTCTACAATAAAAGTGAATGACATTTACACAGTGGTAAAGGGCATCCCAGTGAACAAGTGTGCAGTGAAAGTAGTGAGGGAACTTTTTTAGTTTTTTTGAAAATGAATTTTAAAAAGTGCTTTTGGGACCAAAATGGCACACTTTGACCCCCATTTTCTCTGGATTTCTACAGTAAAAGTGAATGATATTTTACACAGTGGTAGAGGGCATCCCAGTGAACAAGTTTGCAGTGAAATCAGTCAGGGAACTTTTTTAGATTTTTTTAAAATGATTTTTAAAAAGTGCTTTTGGGACCAAAATGGCACACTTTGACCCCCATTTTCTCTGGATTTCTACAGTAAAAGTGAATGATATTTTACACAGTGGTAAAGGGCATCCCAGTGAACAAGTGTGCAGTGAAAGTAGTGAGGGAACTTTTTTAGATTTTTTTTAAAATGAATTTTAAAAAGTGCTTTTGGGACCAAAATGGCACACTTTGACCCCCATTTTCTCTGGATTTCTACAGTAAAAGTGAATGATATTTTACACAGTGGTAAAGGGCATCCCAGTGAACAAATGTGCAGTGAAAGTAGTCAGGGAACTTTTTTAGTTTTTTTTAAATTAATTTTAAAAAGTGCTTTTGGGACCAAAATGGCACATTTTGACCCCCATTTTCTCTGGATTTCTACAGTAAAAGTGAATGATATTTTACACAGTGGTAGAGGGCATCCTGGTGAACAAGTGTGCAGTGAAAGTAGTGAGGGAACTTTTTTAGTTTTTTTGAAAATGAATTTTAAAAAGTGCTTTTGGGACCAAAATGGCACACTTTGACCCCCATTTTCTCTGGATTTCTACAGTAAAAGTGAATGATATTTTACACAGTGGTAGAGGGCATCCTGGTGAACAAGTGTGCAGTGAAAGTAGTCTGGGAACTTTTTTAGATTTTTTTAAAATGAATTTTAAAAAGTGCTTTTGGGACCACTTGTGCACACTTTGACCCCCATTTTCTCTGGATTTCTACAGTAAAAGTGAATGATATTTTACACAGTGGTAGATGGCATCCTGTTGAACAAGTGTGCAGTGAAATTAGTCAGGGAACTTTTTTAGATTTTTTTAAAATGAATTTTAAAAAGTGCTTTTGGGACCACTTGTGCACACTTTGACCCCCATTTTCTCCGGATTTCTACAGTAAAAGTGAATGATATTTTACACAGTGGTAGAGGGCATCCCAGTGAACAAGTTTGCAGTAAAATCAGTCAGGGAACTTTTTTAGATTTTTTTAAAATTATTTTTAAAAAGTGCTTTTGGGACCAAAATGGCACACTTTGACCCCCATTTTCTCTGGATTTCTACAGTAAAAGTGAATGATATTTTACACAGTGGTAGAGGGCATCCTGGTGAACAAGTGTGCAGTAAAAGTAGTCTGGGAACTTTTTTAGATTTTTTTAAAATGAATTTTAAAAAGTGCTTTTGGGACCAAAATGGCACAGTTTGACCCCCATTTTCTCTGGATTTCTACATTAAAAGTGAATGATATTTTACACAGTGGTAAAGGGCATCACAGTGAACAAGTGTGCAGTGAAAGTAGTGAGGGAACTTTTTTAGTTTTTTTTAAAATGAATTTTAAAAAAGTGCTTTTCGGACCAAAATGGCACACTTTGACCCCCATTTTCTCTGGATTTCTACAGTAAAAGTGAATGACATTTTACACAGTGGTAAAGGGCATCCCAGTGAACAAGTGTGCAGTGAAAGTAGTGAGGGAACTTTTTTAGACTTTTTTAAAATTAATTTTAAAAAGTGCTTTTGGGACCAAAATGGCACACTTTGACCCCCATTTTCTCTGGATTTCTACAGTAAAAGTGAATGATATTTTACACAGTGGTAGAGGGCATCCCAGTGAACAAGTTTGCAGTGAAATCAGTCAGGGAACTTTTTTAGATTTTTTTAAAATGATTTTTAAAAAGTGCTTTTGGGACCAAAATGGCACACTTTGACCCCCATTTTCTCTGGATTTCTACAGTAAAAGTGAATGATATTTTACACAGTGGTAAAGGGCATCCCAGTGAACAAATGTGCAGTGAAAGTAGTCAGGGAACTTTTTTAGTTTTTTTTAAAATGATTTTTAAAAAGTGCTTTTGGGACCACTTGTGCACACTTTGACCCCCATTTTCTCTGGATTTCCACAGTAAAAGTGAATGATATTTTACACAGTGGTAGAGGGCATCCTGTTGAACAAGTGTGCAGTGAAATCAGTCAGGGAACTTTTTTAGATTTTTTTAAAATGAATTTTAAAAAGTGCTTTTGGGACCACTTGTGCATACTTTGACCCCCATTTTCTCTGGATTTCTACAGTAAAAGTGAATGATATTTTACACAGTGGTAGAGGGCATCCTGGTGAACAAGTGTGCAGTGAAAGTAGTGAGGGAACTTTTTTAGTTTTTTTTAAAATGAATTTTAAAAAGTGCTTTTGGGACCAAAATGGCACACTTTGACCCCCATTTTCTCTGGATTTCTACAGTAAAAGTGAATGACATTTTACACAGTGGTAAAGGGCATCCCAGTGAACAAGTGTGCAGTGAAAGTAGTGAGGGAACTTTTTTAGATTTTTTTAAAATGAATTTTAAAAAGTGCTTTTGGGACCAAAATGGCACACTTTGACCCCCATTTTCTCTGGATTTCTACAGTAAAAGTGAATGATATTTTACACAGTGGTAAAGGGCATCCCAGTGAACAAATGTGCAGTGAAAGTAGTCAGGGAACTTTTTTAGTTTTTTTTAAAATTAATTTTAAAAAGTGCTTTTGGGACCAAAATGGCACACTTTGACCCCCATTTTCTCTGGATTTCTACAGTAAAAGTGAATGATATTTTACACAGTGGTAGAGGGCATCCTGGTGAACAAGTGTGCAGTGAAAGTAGTGAGGGAACTTTTTTAGTTTTTTTTAAAATGAATTTTAAAAAGTGCTTTTGGGACCAAAATGGCACACTTTGACCCCCATTTTCTCTGGATTTCTACAGTAAAAGTGAATGATATTTTACACAGTGGTAGAGGGCATCCCAGTGAACAAGTTTGCAGTGAAATCAGTCAGGGAACTTTTTTAGATTTTTTTAAAATGATTTTTAAAAAGTGCTTTTGGGACCAAAATGGCACACTTTGACCCCCATTTTCTCTGGATTTCTACAGTAAAAGTGAATGATATTTTACACAGTGGTAAAGGGCATCCCAGTGAACAAATGTGCAGTGAAAGTAGTAAGGGAACTTTTTTAGTTTTTTTAAAATGATTTTTAAAAAGTGCTTTTGGGACCACTTGTGCACACTTTGACCCCCATTTTCTCTGGATTTCCACAGTAAAAGTGAATGATATTTTACACAGTGGTAGAGGGCATCCTGTTGAACAAGTGTGCAGTGAAAGTAGTGAGGGAACTTTTTTAGATTTTTTTAAAATGAATTTTAAAAAGTGCTTTTGGGACCACTTGTGCACACTTTGACCCCCATTTTCTCTGGATTTCTACAGTAAAAGTGAATGATATTTTACACAGTGGTAGAGAGCATCTTATTGAACAAGTGGGCAGTGAAAGTATTCGCAAACCTCTTTTTGTTCTTTTTAAATGATTTTTTAAAAGATAAAGCATTTAGCTTTCTCGTCGTCACGGCTTCCCTTTCCACATTTACCGTAAGTAACAGCATAAAAGAGCCAACCGCATTCAAAGTGCGGACCTCTTTACCGCTCCCGACGAAATGCAGGGCCACTTTACCGCGGTGCCTGTGTAGAGGGGGAAGGCCGTCAATACACCAGGCCAGTGACAGGTGGGAGGCTACCGGCCCGGCTCACAAAAAAAAACCACACAGCACTCAAAACGGCCGTAGCACCATACCCACAACCACCGCCTACGAACAAGAAACTTAGCTGCGAGGAGGGGAGTTGTCTCTCCTCCTCTGATAGACTCCGCCGGGCTCCGTGCGCGATGTCCCGTGGCGCACTGCTCGCTCTGGCTTGACCACTGCTGGCTACGCACCATGCTGCTCACTCCTGCTCCGGAGGCCTGGACTGTCCATCACACTCACACTTTCACGCCTTTCTACCTGATTGCACCCATGCCCACCCGATCTCACACACACACACACACACACACACACACACACACACACACACACACACACACACACACACACACACACACACACACACACACACACACACACACACACACACACACACACACACACACACACGCACGCTCGCTTTTCAATAACGACCACTTGGTCCACCCTATGACATCCTCCCCAACTAATCGTAGGGATCAAGTGGTCTAGTCCATAAATCTTGGAGGCCCCCATGTTAGGCCTCTGTGACCTCCTTGGATCTGGTGGGGGCTCTGGATCTTCTTGCGCACCCCCTACCAGGGGCACCAAAAATATCCAGTGTGGCAGCGAGGTGCCACGAGTGCACCCACGTTCATGTTTCGTCTCTGGTTATATGTAGTTAGGGCGTGGTCTCAAGTTGTTGCGATGGATGACTCGTTCAGGGCCATCTCTCCCTTCAGGACGCACTCTATAATTTGGGCGTTTGGGGTGGAGCCTGGTTACAACAACATGGGGCCTGGTCTGCCAGTGGTCACCCAATTTCCCAGTCCAGGGCTGGATCAAGCAAGTCCACAAGGCCCATGCTGTAGTCAAGGCAGACTGACTGTTACCTCCGGACAGGGAGCAATGAGACTCTCTTCCATGTGGTGGGGGTCTGGTTTGGAAGGCTGTGAGCCCTCGTTTCCCTTCCTGATGCTTGGCTCCTCACGTCAGTGGGTTTTAGTTTACCACCTCCTGCACGGCCGAGGTTGCAGCGACCACCTGTGACAACCTAACAATGGGACAGGACCTCAAAACTGCGCCAGGGTGAACGCTGCTGGCCTGTGGTTCGATCAGTCTTGTGAGAGCAAATACAACTGTCATATCTGCTACGAAGTAAGACTGTTTTCTTTTTCATTTCAGATTTAGATTCAGTATTCAGTTTTACAGCTATTTGCAATAAAACTGCCTCTGTGCACTAGACCAGGGGTTCCCAAAGTTTTTAGCCCGCGACCCCCATCATAAATGCCCTGCTACACTTTTAGTTTTAGCAAACAACAGCAGGACACGCTTTGCCGCTGCGCATGATGTGAGCTGTGTTACGTGATGATTTTGATTGACGCTGCAATGACTGGGACAAAATTACTAACGTTATTAAAATATATTATAGTCTCCACACAATTTAACAAGTAGTCCTTTTGAAACAAATCAAATGCTAAATAAATATTTAAGGGCTTTATATTTGCTTTTTTGAGCAAAACAAATCTTTTTTTTTTTGTGTGGAAATCATCTTGCGACCCCCCCAGGGGTTCCCGCGACCCCCCGGGGGGTCGGGACCCCCACTTTGGGAACCACTGCACTAGACAAGTATATACAATAGACAAGCTAAAAAGTACAGGAAATAATTGTCGCTGTGAAACCAATCAACAAAAACGGTTTCAATACATTTGCAAGATCATTAAAGCGCTTTGTTCAGACTGTGGAAAGAAGCTGTTAGCATATCAAGATGTCCTACATCTCAGCAAACAATATCTTCTGCCAGAGGGAAGAAGCTGGAACATGGCTTTTCCAGGAGCCATTGCTTGTTTGAAGAGCTAGATTTAAGTCTGGATTCATAAAGATCCTCCAGAACAGGCAGCTCACAGCTCTGTTCCAAAAGGGAGAGTCTTGTTTAGAGCCCTCCTTTCTTCGGCTGTGACAGCAAACAGTCAATGGAACAGCATTTCATGTTTTAAAATGTGAAATGTTATCAGTAGAAAACTGATAGAATACTGCGAACCAAGTACCAAGGGCGTCGCCTTGGGAGTTACAGGCCAATGAAGAATATGATTTGATTTTTTTGTTTTACTGCAAAATAAACAGACTTAAGACAAACATCCATTTAAAATGATAATTAGTGAATTTACAGCACAAGAACTTCAGTGTGTGTGTGCGTGTGCGTTTGTTTGTGCTCTGCTCTGAACCAGTCCCCTGTTCCACAGAGTCCACCAACTCTACCGTGCGGGTACAAAGTCATGCGAACACAACATCTTGGTTAGAGGCTCAGCGGTACTGCAGAATCCACTACACTGACCTGATGAGTGGACTGACCCAGCAGACACAGTTGCAGAATGATTACCCTACCCGCTCGGTGCGGTGCTGGATCGGCCTGTTCCGGGACACCTGGGTCTTGTCCGACTCCAGCGACTCCTCGTTCAGAAACTGGAACTCCTCCAGATCCATAAATCCAGAGAAGAGGAAGTGTGCAGCGCTGGGAGATCAGGGCCAATGGATGAGCGCTGACTGTCGCCTGAAGAAGAACTTCATCTGCGAAGGAGGTAAGAGAACAAGCAACAACTAAAGTCCTGCTGTAAGAGTGGGTTCACCTCACTTAGCTTGGGCGTCACGGTGGCTGAGTGGATAGCAAGGCAAGGCAGATTTATTTGGATAGCACAATTCATACACAAGGCAACTCAAAGTGCTGAACAAAATAAGAAAGCATTAAAATCATAAAAAATCACAGTACATTAAAAAGAAAGATAAAAATATAAAATCCCTCAGTTGTATGCACTGCTAAACAGGACTGTTTTTAACCTGGTTTTAAACATTGTCAGAGAGGAGGACTGTCTCACATCTTCAGGAAGATTGTTCCAGATTTTAGCAGCATGAATCTGAAAAGCTGCCTCCCCATGTTTAGTTCTGACTCTGGGCACTAACAGGAGTCCAGTCCCTGTGCTCCTCAGAGTCTCGCACTCTCGCCTCTCAGCAAGAAGGTCCTGGGTTCGAATCCCGGTCAGACCAGGGCCTTTCTGAGTGGAGTTTGCATGTTCTCCCCGTGTCTGCATAGGTTTCCTCCGGGTACTCCGGTTTCCCCTACCACTAAAAACATGCAGACTAGGTAAATCCTCCAGCTCCGGTAGTTTTGACCAAGTCGAACATCAACATCTGGAGATAGGTTCCCGGCCACTCTACTACGGCGACCACTGCTCCTGACGTAAGCCTTTGCGGCATCAGGATGGGTCAAATGCAGAGGATTGAATTGCCCTACAGGGATTAATAAAGTGCACCTTTACCTTTACCTCTTTCCGGGTCTCTCTCTCTCTCTGTTCTCTCTCTGGACTTACTGGCATCTCTTTCTGGTTTCCCTCTGGTCTCTCTCTGCTCTCTCCCATCTCTTTCTCTGCTCTCTCTTTCTCTCCCTCATATCTCTCTCTAGTCTCAATGACTGTTCTCTCTTTCAAGTCTCTCTCTTGTTTCTTTCCCTGGTCTCTCTCTCTCTGATCTCTCTCTCTCTGGTCTCTCTCTGGCACAATGGGGTACTTTTGCAGATGTATGAAAACAGCAAATAAACTGAATCTGAATCTGTAAAGAGCCCACTTGTTAAGATTCCTCTCACTCGAAGATGCCTCAGCACTTACACTTGACATTTTCTGCCTGTCTGCGGCATTCAAAGTCAATCCAGGTGACAACTCCAAACTCAGCTGAGAAACAACCTGATGCGGTAAAACTCATGTTGAAAATGAAATAGAGACATCGATCAGCGTCAGAACGAGACACAAAGCCAGAGCAGGTAAAGATGTGGATGTTGTTTGGGCATCTTTAAGGCTGAGGGTTGGACCTGAATTTTAAACCACTACAATAATGTCACTATAATCACTGGTTACTGCTTCTAGAACAGTCTTTTTCCATCACTAGTTTTCACATGCTTTTCTGGCCTCTGTCACATCTTTAGATCAGCTTTTGTTGTCTCTGTCTGGTCTCTCTTTGGTTTCTCTCTGGTCTGACTTCTTCGGGTCTCTCTCTGGTCTCTCTTTGGTTTCTCTCTGGTCTGTCTTCCTCGGGTCTCTCTCTGGTCTCTCTTTGGTTTCTCTCTGGTCTGTCTTCCCCTCGGGTCTCTCTCTGGTCTCTCTTTGGTTTCTCTCTGGTCTGACTTCCTTGGGTCTTTCTCTGATCTCTCTCTCTCTTTGGTTTCTCTCTCTGGTCTCTGTCTGTTCTCTCTGGTGTCTTTTTGGTCTCTCTATCTGCTCTCTCTTTGGTCCCTCTTTCTGCTCTCTCTCTCTCTCTCTGGTCTCTTTCAGGTCTCTCTCTTTGGTCTCTGTCTCTCTTTGGTGTCTCTTTCTGCTCTCTCTCTCTCTGATATTTATCTCTCTCTGATCTCTCTTTCTGGTCTCTCTCTGGAATGATTTCAAGTCCAGGATCATACTGGACTCAAAACCTTAAACTGAGAAACAACAACAGCACCCACACATACTGTGCTTGGTCTGTGTGGCAGTTCCACTCTTGACCAGTGAGTGTCAGTGTTGTCTCACTTTGAGCTGTGGCTGTGGACGCTGACAAAAACCCCACACACCCGAAGACTTTCTCTTTTAATCCTTTAGTTTAATGAGCTTCTTATTATGAGATGAAGTGAATCCGATAACAACTGGTCCTGTTTTATTCATTGTAAGTTTGATGATTACTGCAATCCAATTTTTTCCCCTTTGAGAAACCAACATGATCAAGGCAATGAAAGGCAAGGGTTCTTTGTATAGTTCATACAAAGTGCTTAACAAAACAAGAAATCATGAATAATGTTGCAGAGAAACAGGACTGTGCGAAACCTGGATTTGAGCATTGTCAGAGTTGAAGCATGTCTCACATTTTCAGGTAGACCAGCACCAGCAGGAGGCCAGTCCCTGTGCTAAACCACAGATTTAGTAAGCACAAAATGGTGAGTGTGACACTAACGGTTACTGAGCTGGAGGAATTTACTTTTACATGTAAGTCATGATAGAAGCCAGAGATGATCATATTTACCGTGTGTGGACATGTATTTTGAGCAAAAGATAAATGAGATTCAAATCAATAATGTTCAAAAATACTCTAATTCCATCTGCAGATTGGCTCCAGTCACATGTCATTTGTCTGATATAATTAGCTTTCTCAACAATGCTCCCAAACCAGCAGCGTGTGTTCCTATAATCAGTAATTATTCCTCATTATTCTGCAGCAGATCTCCGATTTAAACCTCGCACACATCTACACTCTTTTTCTCTCGGGATTTGTTTAATTTACAAGACAGAAAGGACCCATTTCAAACAGTTTTGTTTGGCAACTTCTGTGTTTCATATGCCTACTTAAACCCCAGCTTACTAATTTATCCAAATTAAACTGTATACACATAAAGGAAGATAAAAGCAAGGTGAATTCTTTCATTAACAATAATTATTTTTATTCATAGAAAGTTTGGCTAATGTTCAATGTCCGATGTTTTTTTTTTGTGAGAAGGGCGTTACAATCATAGACTGTAAATATTAACAGACGTCAAAATGGCCGTGGGGCAGGAAAATGTGAGAAAACGCATTTGCGCATTTGTCAGCCGGCATTAGCCTCATTCATTTGAGATGCATTGTAAAGTCCATAGCGGCTGAACTAGACTGGTCCAACAAAAAATAGTCCCGTCAGCATTGACACACATCTGGAACGGTAGCGTTGGGCCAAAAGCCGACTTTTGGACCATCCTGTAAAGACGTTTTCCAGTGGCGAGAAGACGCCATACAAAAGCATTGGTAATTCCCTCTCTGGGTCCACCCCCATTGGCCACGAGTGAGATTGCAAGCATGTTAGCTTACATGCTCATGGACCATTTTGAGCTGGGACCCGCCCCCCACTGGTTACAAGAGATTAAGCCGTTAAGTAACAAATGCACGAACTAGAAGCTGAGAGGAGGGATGAGAGGTGGAAAAAGGCTGTTTGTCCACGGGAACGAATCCTCAAGGATGTGTCCTTCTTGAGATTTCTCACTTTTTTCCCACTGGGTTTCAGAGTGGTTCTTCTCGGATGCAGGAGGGCCTAAAGACAGTGATGATCTGGGATATTTTTGCACATTTAATAACATTTCTGGATAATGTTCCTCCCACTCCCTGTGGACCAATGCCTCCATGTGTTATTGTTACATTTCTGTGTTTCAAACTGTTTGATCCTCTGATTTTTGTTGGTAGATCCACAACTTTTTAAAGTCCTCTGAGACAACTATTTTGTGATACAAGATACAGTAAGTCGGGTACAACACCTAAGACAAGGGAACCAGGCAGCTGTAACTCTCATGTTTCGCCTCTCACATTAGTCCTGGTCTCAGGTATCTGCACTGGCTTCCTCCTGCTCAGAGAATAGACTCAAAAGCAGGATTGCTTGTGTATAAGTCTTTCCATGGCCACGCACCAAAGTACATCTGCGACATGCTAGTGCCATATGAACTAACACAGACTCTGATGAGCTATGATGAGTTTATTTTTATTTTTATTTAACCTTTATTTAACCAGGAAAGTCCCCTTGAGATAGGACTGATTTTTCAGGGGAGTCCTGGACAGTGACTGGCCTCCTGCTGGGACTTTAAGGAGCAGAGGGACTGGCCTCTCCCCTCTGCCCTCTATTTCTTTCTCCTCTCTCCTTTCTCCCTTCTATCTCCACTCTTTGCTCTCTGTTCTCTCTCTCCTCTGCCCTCTCTGTCCTCCGGGTCCTCTCTCATGTCTCCTCTCTTCTCTCATGGGGGTTTTGCACATCAGTGAGTCAGTTTTCCTGCCAGGGTTTAATCTCCAAACCTTAATGAACATTTCTCAAATGGAGTAAATAGTTGGTGCCTTCTCCGGCGTCTGTGTCTGATCTGCAGATACAGTATATTCTAACAAACCTAACATAAACACCAACAACATCTTCACAAGCAGTGTGTCATTTCTCAATGACAAAATACTCAGAGCTTTTTTAATAGTTAGGGTTTAACCTCATTTATGTATTTTACCCTCATGTATTTTTCACCAGATCAGGAAGGCACTCTCCAATCTGCACCTTCACAGAACATGACCTTTTAAAACTCAGCTGAAAAACACATTTTGTTCAGAGCTGCTTTTAAACCACAGATATGCAGGGGCTTCTTATTTTCTGCTGTTTGAAGGAATATTAAGTGTGTTTTGTTGATGTATTTTATTAAATATGACATGTGTTGTAAGGAATGAGTAAAGGATCTGGACCCTCATTCCTGGATCTACAGCCTCTGTCCTGGATCTACAGCCTCTGTCCTGGATCTACAGCCTCAGTCCTGGATCTACAGCCTCAGTCCTGGATCTACAGCCTCTGTCCTGGATCTACAGCCTCAGTCCTGGATCTACAGCCTCAGTCCTGGATCTACAGCCTCAGTCCTGGATCTACAGCCTCTGTCCTGGATCTACAGCCTCAGTCCTGGATCTACAGCCTCAGTCCTGGATCTACAGCCTCTGTCCTGGATCTACACCTGGTCCTTGTCAATGCAGGAGGGATGCAGGCCCGTGGTCCAATTGCAGCCCTCTGTGTCATTCTATTTGGCCCACACGTCTTTGGGAACACATG